GCCGATTACGTGACACAGAGAGCCCCCCATCACCCGGGCCGCTCCGCCGCGGCTCCTGCAGCTCTGCCGGACACGGGAACGGTCCTCGGTCCCTTCTGCACACAGCAAAACTCACAATCAGACCGTGTGCGGCACAGCTCCGGCCGGAGTCCACTTCCCCCCGCCGACTGCAGATGGAGCCAGGGTCTGGCTGGCTCCCGAATCCCAGCTCTGAACTACACCAGACACTTGAACGCGGGGCTCACCTGCCCGCCCCCCAAATTCACTTTTCTCTTCGTCTCCGCTGCCTCATTTCTTCCTACGTCTTCACGCATTGAACTCCACGTGCTGTTAAATGCAGGGAGACCCCTCGCATCCAAGGCGCTCTGGATAGGATCCTGACACGCAGGGCGGGGGAGAAGGACCCTCGCCGGGTGCTGGGTGCTGGACGCCCTTCCCAGCTTTGCAGCCTCAATGAGGATCGTTGCATCCCCAGCAGCGGCAGAAGGGGCTCTCAGGCTCCACCGGACCAGCACCGGTGCCGGCATGCATCGCAGCAACGCTGTGGGCTCTGAAATCACCTTTCTCCTTCCCCGCCACGGCAGACACGAGCTGGTGCGTGGGTGCGTCCTGCGTGGGGAGTTTGCTGCACGGCGCGGGGGAGAGGGACAGCGCAGCCCGGCCGTGCGGTCTATATGGAGTGAGGGGGTCTTTGGTTATAAGGATTTGGCCCATTTCACTTTTCTGCTTTCTGCTAAAAGACACCAAGGGGTCTTTCAATAAGTAACAAGGAATTTGGCATGGCGTTCCGGAAGAGGAGAGCTGGAGAAGGCAGAAGAGACAGAGCTGCCCCAGTATTCAGGTTTGCCACCTGTAATATCCGCTGCTTCCACTCACAGATGCAGAGATGCTGCGGAAGCAGCTCCTTCCCGCTATCTTTCCATTTATCTGCCCACCCCGGCACTTACACTGACCTTCTGGCCACGGCCTTCGAGAGGATCTCCAAGCCAAGAGCTCAGTAAATTGCAAGGAGCTCCACGAAACTCAATTGAGGGCAGGCTTCTGAGCCGAAATGCATTTTCCGGCTAGGCTCTCTCGCCGCCGTTCGCTCACTGCAGCTGTCTGCTGTACAGTTCTAGAAATTAAAATTCAATGCTTTCCTCATTTAGCAGAAAAGTGCTTGGCATTTTAAAATGTTATTCCTGAAAGTTCAGTTGCAGGCATGCCTTGTCCTTTACCTAGTTTGATTGAAGTTTAAAGATTCTGAATTAAGCCAGCTTTGGCATCCACTTCTCAAAATGAAAAAGAAGAGACAGTGAGAAAGAAGCTGGAAAATACATTTGACGCCAAAACCCAATGTTTTTTCCTGCTCCCGTGGAGCTGATGCAGAGGGCTGTGGTTCCCGGGCATAGCCGCATGCCACAGCTTCTCCGGGCATTCCCGGACCGGTGAGCAGAGCTCTCGAGACCGACCTTCAGGAAATACGGTGTATCCGTGATGGCACACGCTGCTAGATAACCTATGGAAGCTGTGGTGTCCAGACATTTAAGACCATAAAAGGGTCTTAAAAACCCAAACAACTGATGGATTTTCTAAAACTGATGAGAAAACAAGGGATGCAGCTGTCGTTCACGGCTGCCCGGTTATCCACAGGCACCGTGGCACGGGACGGAGACGGTCTTTCCCCGTGCTCCCTGTGCCAGTGTCTGTGCTCACAAACCGCCACGCATTTTAGAGCTAGAGGGGATGGCCCCTGGTGCAGGCATCACCGTCCGTCTGTCCGTCCGTCCTTGGCACAGCAGAGACCTACCGGTCACTCCTGGTGCCACTGGAGTTATCCCCAAGCAGCTGGTGAAGGTGGTGGAGGGTTGCACATCAACTGGGACTCTGCTGCCTTCAGCAGAGTTGTTTAGTTCAAATCTTAGAGGCTGCCCTTCCCCTCCTCAATTCTCCTTTTATTGCCTAATTCACACTTTTGGAAAATTTTCTACGGGACCCTGATGTGTGGGTCCAGGGCTCCAAGGCGAAGTAAAATTGATTAAGCTCAGTCCTTTTTGGAAGCACTGTGAGGAAACAAAACTCTTGCTCTTTAATGTAAGCACGCATACCAGCCCCCGTCTCTTCTAGGAAGCATGTGGAAGGGTCCTGAAAGAATGAAAAGGGTGAGGAGATAAAGTGAAGAGAGCACAGGATGAGGAAGGATGGGATATAAAGCCTTCTCCAAAGACAGAGCTCAAGGATGTGATCTCGAGTAACGAGGATTTCAGGACAGGGCAAGCCCAAAGCAGAGGTATCGCAGGAGGGAGAACGGTGGAGATTGGGGCGGGGGACTCCTCCGCAACAGGTCATCCTCGAAGGCAACAGCACGACTTCCCAGACACGCACACAAAAGAAGAGGCAGCTGCCTTCCCTGCTGCCAGAGGAGCATCCCCGAGGCCTGCCCTGAAGCTGCGGTGCCTGGAGGACGCGTCGGTGCCGACCAGCTGCAGGGGCGAGCGCCGGAGAGGCAACTGCAGAAGGGTCTGGGTGCTCCCCCCTGGCAGAGCTTCATTTGAGCTGGTGTCAAACGAAACACGAGGGGCCTGCCGTGCCAGGAAGGCTTTAGGGATTTGGAGTATGACATTGAAAGCCCAGTACCTAAGTTTTCTGCGATCCTTTTCTTGCTCATCTCCATGGCCTCTTGTCGGAGCTGCAGAGCGTGCTGGGCGATCTCATCGCTTGCCACGTTGGAGGTCATGATGAAGATGGCATCCTTGCAGTCAATAGTTTTCCCCTTCCCATCCGTCAGTCTGCCCTGCAACAACACCGAGGCAACACAAGCAGCGTCAGCCACAGGACATTGCCAAAACACGAGGCAAAAGGACACGGGTCCCATCTTTCCCCCGAGCGGATTGATTTTTGAAGGGATGCCCAAGGGTAGAGGCAGGAAGGAGGCAGGGCTGAGCTGCAGAGGCTGAAGAAGCCCCCACCTCTCCGAGGGACGGCAGT